AGATCACTTCGGATAGTATTGACATTTTAACAATAGTAAGTCTTCCCATCCATGAACATGAGATGTCTTTCCATTTGTTTGTATCTTGTTTAATTTCTTTTAGTAATGTTTTGTAGTTTTCAGTGTATAAATCTTTATCTCCTTGGTTAAGTTTATTCCTAAGTATTTTATTCTTTTTCGTACTATTACAAATGGAATTGTTTTATAATAATTTTCTTGTCAGATTGTTCATTCTTGGTGCATAAAAACACATGAGGTTTTTGTATGATTTTGTATCTTGCAACTTTGCTGAATTTATTATTTCTAACAGTTTTTTGTTAGAGTCTTTAGGGTTTTCTACGTATAAGATCATGTTATCTGCAAACAGAGACAATTTTACTTCTTCCTTTCTGATTTGGGTCTATCTCTTTTTCTTGCCTAATTACTCTGACTAGGACTTCCAATACTGTGTTGAATGGAAGCGGTAAAAGTGGGCAACCTTGTCTTGTTCCTGTTCCTAGAGGAAAATCTTTGTCTTTCATCATTGAGTATAATGTTAGCTGTGTGGTTTTCATATATGAATTTAATGTAGAGTTTTTACTCAGAACACATTAGACACAAAATATAGGGTTTGTTTTCCACACCAACAATCAGTTAGTTCTCCAACTCTTTGGATACCAACTGTGTGTCCTATAATTCAATTCTGACACTACCTGAAGTTACCGTAGACCCCTCCCCCGACAGATTAAGGGCTCAGTCCCACAGGACTACTCCCATTTTAGACACCAGTCACAAGTCCCAGGTTGCCAGCTGTTCTTCTGACCTACTGACTATAAATATGGGGGTTCCCATGATCCTCTCCTTCAGGTTCAACAATTTGCTAGAATGGCTCACAGAACTCAAGACATCACTTTACTATTACCAATTTATTATAAAAGATATAGCTTAGGGCCAGGCGCAGTGGCTCACACCTGTAATCCTAGCACTCTGAGAGGCCAAGGTGGGCGGATCATTTGAGCTCAGGAGTTCGAGACCAGCCTGAGCAAGAGCAAGACCCCATATCCACTAAAAAAAAAATAGAAAGAAATTAGCTGGACAACTAAAAACATATATATAAAAGATTAGCTGGGCATGGTGGCGCATGTCTGTAGTCCCAGCTACTCGAGAGGCTGAGGCAGAAGGATCACTTGAGCCCAGGAGTTTGAGGCTGCTGTGAGCTAGGCTGATGCCACGGCACTCTAGCCCGGGCAACAGAGTTGAGACTCTGTCTCAAAAAAAAAAGATATAGCTTAGAAACAGCCAAATGGAGATGCATAGGGAAAGCTATAGGGATGGGTGGGGCTTGGTGGTGAACTTCCATGCCCTCTGTGGGTGTGCTACCCTCCCAGCACCTTGCTGTGTCCACCAATCTGGAAGCTCTCTGAGCCCTGTTATGTAGCGGTTTTTAATGGAGGTTCCGTTAAGCAGGCACAATTGATTAAATCATTGGCCATTGTTGATTGAACCCAATCCCCAGCCCTTTTCCACTCTCTTCATGTTTGGGGGCCAGGCTGAAAGTTCCAACCCTCTAATCACATAGTTGGTTCCTCTGGCAACCAGCCACCACTCTGAAGCCATTTAGGGGCCCACCACGCGTCACCTTACTAGCATAAACTCAGGGTTGAAATATGAATAAGGAAAGATGCTTCTCTCATTCCTGTCACTGGGGAAATTCCAAGAATGGTAGAAGCTGTGCGTCAGGAACCAGGGGCAAAGACCAGATATGTATTTCTTATCATACCTTTATTATGTTGAGGTACTTTCCTTCTATTCCTAGTTTGTTGAGTGTTATTGTGAAGGGTGTTGGATTTTTGTCAAACTCTGCATCAATTGAGATGATTGTGTGGTTTTGACATATATCGATTGATTTTTGTATGTTGAACCATCCTTACATTCCAGCAATAAATCCCACTTGGTTATCATGTATAACCTTCTTAATGTGCTCCTGAATTCTGCTTGGTAGCATTTTGTTGAGGACATTTGCATCAACATTCACCAGGGATATTGGTCTGTTTTGTTTTCTTGTATTACCTTTTTAACATAGAATTTCGTTAAGTTTGTGTAATTAAAAAAAGTGGTTTAACAACCAGTTCATAAAATTCCTGAAAATTTAAGTTGATTCTCATAAGCCAACGTGAGCTGGCTCGAGCATATCCCGGGCTAGACTTTGCACATCTGTTCTTTTGCAATGTGGGCCACAGTGAACTGAGAGTCATTTAATTTCTCATAGTTATAGGAAGAACAGGAAGTGAAAGATATATCTGCATTTCCTCATTCCAAATAAGGGTAACTTATTGGCAAACAAGTAAATATAAAACCAGAAAAAATATTAAGCTGTAAATTATCTTCCTAGTCCCCATCTCAATGCACCATCTTAACATAATAGAATTCACTCCTTTTAGAGGAAGGCACTGTGTACTTCTTTCTTTTTAACATTGGCCTGAGTACTGTATCTCATTTAATTCTCATAATTTAAATCTCAGAATTATCATTGCATATCTCATTTAATTCTCCCAACAATGAACAATGTAGGTATACCATTTTTGAGAAGACACTGGATTTTAGAGGGGTTAAGTAACTCATGCAGAGTCACACAGCATCAGTGGTACAGCCAGGATTTGAACCACAGCTGCCTGACTTCTGCCGTCATCTGATTACACATCTACCTGTCTTCAGCAGTGACCGACACAGTTAATAAATATTTGTTGAACCAATGTGCTATTTGTCTATTCTTCTATTGCTGTTATTTGTGAACTTTTACAAAATAGCAGAACCCTTTTATTGAAAGAATTCTTATATAGAACGCAAATATATAATATAAAAGATAAAAGCAGATTATTACTAAGCATTATGAGGAGTGTGAAGCCCTGCATACCTGTAACATATTTTACATTGTTTTAATATTCATGAAAAAAACTGCCGAATTTGGAGTTCACAAACAGTTTACATGGATAGTTCTTTTGGAAAAATGAGATTTATACCTAGGGTAAAAAGTCATATAGTTTGGGAGGTTTTTTGGGTTTCTGCTCATAAAATGGACAAAATCGTAACAATGCCGGGGTAGCAGACTTAACATTACCAATTTCTTTAGGAAGGTAATAGGAACAAAGGTTACTAAGGAACCTGTTTAAATCTGTTTCCAGGTTTATCCACAACGTAGCGGTAGGCAAACTACCTTCGGTGTCTGGCAGATAGTTTAAATCCTAGACTGTCACTTAGTTACATATGACCTTGAGTGAATCCCATCTATAATATGGTGATAATCCTAGTATCTATTTAAGAGGGTCACTGTAAGGATTAAACAAGATAATTATTATGCATAGCGTCTGTTACATTGTAAATACGCGGTAGTTATTAATTAGATGAGGTGTCAAGCTTCCGTGATGATCTATTGCTCACTTTCCCTAAAGTCTTAGTGTTTAAATTGCTCTTTTGTAGTAAGTCCTTTACTTCAGATGTTACAACATTGGTAGTGAAGTATATGAAAAAAATGGCAAGAAATTTAGAGGCGGAAAACTCAGTTTTGGGTAAATTTTATCTTAAAATGTGCCTAATACTAATTTGTATTTTCTCTGCATCTCAGAGTTGTGGTTAAAGAAGACAATTGAGTGCCGCACGGATATTGGTTATCATCACTTGCCTGTCACTTAGCAACCCCAATGCAAGACTCATTTCAAATTCCTGACTGGACGTGCTTGATGAGGACTTAATTGTTCCTTAATCCAGTTATGCACTGGCTGGGGACAGTAGGCAGACTTGGCAGAATTTGGGGACCCAGGCCTCATGCTGTCTGCTGGGTTAATTTCAGAGATTTTAATCCTAATCCTAATTATTCTTGAGTATATTTAAACCAGCAGTTTACAGTTTAAATTTTTAGTCACATTTATCAGCCACTATATAAAATATATTTTATATAAGATATATAAAAGAGGGCAGCTTTTATATATTTTCCCCTTAAAAAATGTAGAACAGAGTAAACAAAAGCAGTTATCCAAATTGGAAGTAGTCCTTTTGAGACAAGGAGTTCTCTTAAAGGTTAGAATAACTTTAAAATACCTGGTGGTCGTGGACAGCTGTATTGCAGATTTGATCCCACTCTCTTGGTCATCTCACCCAGATTCGTGGCTTTAAGCTTCAACTATGATGATGACCCTCAAGTTCTGAACTTCCAGCGCAAACCCCTCCTCCAAACGCGACTTCTACATGCAGCTGTTGGACGTCTAACGTCTCTCTCCAACAGCCCCAAACTGAACTTCGGATCTTAAACCTACTCCTCCCACGGTGCCTTCCAACTGTGCTCAGTGCTCAGGCCAAATACTTTTGACGTCATCCTTAACTCTTCCCTTTCCTGTGTCCCTTATGTCTATATTCAGTAAGCAAATTTTAATGGGTCCTTTAAAATATAAACAGAACCCAACCACCTCTGACTACTGTCTTTGCCACTGTTCTCTCTCGCTTGGGTTACTGCAATGGCCTAACTGAGCTCCCCTGCAGTCTACGCGAGCCTCGTCGCGTGACACCACTCCTCTGCTCCCAACTCCCCTCTCAGCGGAGGGAAAAGCTAAAGTCCTGAAAGTCAGGCACCAGTCCCCCAGCCGCCGGCTGAGGCGCACGCCCACCTCAGGGTCTCTGATCCAATGGAACTGCCCGCGAGCCCTCGCCTGACCACCCTACTCGAAACTTCAGTCTCCGGCCCACACTGGCAATGCTTTTCCCTTCCTCGCCTTACTTTTCTTCCTAATACTTATCATAATACATTTTAAAATGTAGTTTTTCTCCCCCAGTGAGATTAATAGGGCAGGGATTTTTCTCATTGTTGTAGGACCTAAAACAGTCCCAGGCCTACAGTCATTCAGTATCTGTTGAAAAAAAATGAACTTAAAAGTCGTCACTCCCCATTTCCACCCCCCCTTTACCGAGTGATTGTAATCAAAGTCACACAGAAGTGCTTGGTGGAAAATAAAAGCAAAAGCCACTACGCATTAGTTTGTCAACATGTAATGCCCTGGGTTTATTTTGTGAGAATTCTATCACAATTTTTCCAGGTGGGATAAAAACCTTAAGGACAACGTATGCCATTGGGCTGGGCATTCGGACTTCGGCGCTGACGAACCCTCGCGGCCGCCCGTCAGCGCCGTCCTCTTCACAGAAGAGAGGTCAGACGTTCCCAGAGGAAGGCACCCGGTATTTGTGGCTCTGGCCTTGCAGCCTTCTGGAGAATCTCAAAAGGAAAAACGCTGGCTGTTTCTAGAAACTGGAATGATGATACACGTACAGCAATTACTGCATTCTTCTCCCTCATATCCTTTTGTAAGAACAAGTAAAGAATGAAGTCTTCCAAACAATTTGACAATAAAAAAGTACAATTTTTTGTGCTAAAAAAAGGGCAAGACAACATAAACTCCAGTTGTAAGGACTCCGTTTGCATACTTGATTTCACACTTTCCGGTGTGGGAGGAGGTGGGGCTACCGGCTGGCTGTGGAGCAGCCACGTGACATTAGTGGGTAAGTACCAGAACCCGCCGCGGCCGCGGGCAAGCTGGGGGTGGGAGGATTCAAGAGACTTCATTTTTAGCTTGTTACTTGTCCTAATGACAGTAGACCAGGAAGATCCCCATTGAACAGTACATTCCCCGTTTTTTAAAAAACTGATGCCTTTTTTTTGTAAAATTCTGTATGTATGTCACCATTTTTTTCACATGATACACAGAAAACTCAAGGACCCAGAGGGGAACCAAGTTATGTTATACCATTTACAAAATACCAAGGAGTCCACAGCTACCTAACACATTTACTACAGCACAGGAACCAATGAAGGTACAGTGTACAAAAAACTGTAAACACGGCACAATAAATAGATAAAACAGCAGGTTCCGCACCATGCACATGATGACACTTCATCGCTGTACAGTCTCACGTCTCACACTCTTTGTTGCGGTTTATTTCCCTCCCGCCCCCCACCCCCAAGTGCAAAGCATCACAAATGAACATTGTCTGTATTCAAGTAACATATATACAGGGGTATTACAAATATGCGGTACTGTACAGATAATTGCTGTATTCTTAATTTACAGATGTTGATTTTTTCCTATTAACAGTAAGAAAAGAAAAATTGAAGCATGAGAGATGAGCACTGCTGTCGAGTCCCCACAGCTGCCGCAGAAACGCATGTGCTGCGTTCCATCATCCCTTGCGTTCAAATGCTACTGATGCATAGCACCGAATCGAGTCCCCGGGCCGCAGGTCCACCCCCGAGGAAGCTACGTCACCTCCATCGCTACTGTGTTGTCTGCTATGTTGTTCAGTGCTGGCTTTTCTGATTCATGATTTTCCCTGTTGAAATAAAGGTCAATCAATTATCTACAACGTAAAAAATTGAGCAAATGAAAACTATCTTCCCAATAAAAATTGATTGTTTTTTTAATAACAGGAAGAAATTTCAGTCTTTGAGGATAAGACAGCAAGTAGAGAAATATGAACTTTCACATCAACTTTTATATATCAGGAATATATGCTCAGAAATCAGGCTCATGTTGATTATGAATTCCATGGTCGGCTATGCCACCAATTGCAGCACCCAAGCAACCTAGATGTTGAAAATACACAAAGAATTCCCAAGTTTTAGTAATCATAGTTTTAACTTCCACTTCTATTAAACCTTTTAAAAGAGTTTTAAAAAAGGAACGCACATGACTGAGGCTCACGTCAGGACTTTAAGTCAGGGCTCTACACACGCAGGGCTGAGCAGGACAGCTGCTTAGCTAGCCGTCAGAACACTAGGGTTCCAGTTATTCTATCCCCTGGACTCTTGAGTGTCCTTGGAGAGGTCTGGTAACTTCTCTAGATCTCTCAGTTTCCTCATCTTTAAAAACAAAGGAACAAGTGATATACAAGTTCCACGCACTGCGAATGTTCCACAGCAGTAGAGTTGTATCATGTGTATGTCACAACCGTGGCTGACTGATTAGCTACGACCGGACCCAGAATACTAACAGGAATGGCTGGGCATTGAGCGACAATGACTATGACTTAAGTTCAGAGCATGGCTTGGAAACTAAAGGCTACAATCTGCTGCTAGGAACCCTGCTCTCTCTCCTCCTGGCCGAGCAAGTCTGTCAGTCTGGCATTCAAGGCCCCTCCAGTCTGGCCATCTTCTGCCATTCCCATTTCAATCACTAACCTTCCCAAACCTATAGAAAAACCCGTTTACCTGTTAACCTCTAAACACTTATATTTCTCCAACTTTGTTTTTTCACTTAGCACATTCCGTCTGCCTGAAACACTCTTTTTTTTCCTTCTCTTCATCTAAGCAAATACTACCCCAGATTGAATCTGATCTTATTTTGTTAGAATATTCCCTGAATCCATCCCCTCAGTGCAAAAAGATGTCTCTTTATACTGAAATTATAGCCATCAACCATACAATGAATTTGACAAACACATAATGCTTTGTGATACCTCTGAAACAATTTTCACCTGTTACTTATACTTAACATTATTTAGCTTTTCACACTTTTATGCTTGTCTTCCAACTAAACTGAAAACACCTGTCTTCTTTCTCTTTGTGTTTTCCCCATAGTACCTTGTAAACAGCAGGATTTTAATTGCCATTAATATTTAAAACATAATACAGCCTGAGCAAAAATTCTAAACCATCTATTGAAACCCACGAGGGCAAGTTAGCATAGAAAATAATGGTTTGATTAAAAGTTGGCCCGGCATGAATTCTTTAAGTCTTTACATTATTAATAGCTTAGCATACTAGTGATTGGGGAGGGTGTCCAATCAATTCTAACTGTTTACATGAGAAGCTGTGCAAAAAAATCATAAACAAATATTCTGAAGAGAATTGCTTCCATCCAAAGGTGAAAGAAAAATAAGAGCATTATAAGCCATTGTTATAGTAAGAAAGGAATGTCCCAAATCAAATAGGCAATATTTACTATACCATTTAGTTCAAATTCTCAACCAATATTAAATTACATTTGTTCAGTTCTTAAATAAGTAATCAATGCTCGTCTATACATTTCAGTGTATAACAGGAAAACAGCAGGAAACACACAGAAATAGGTAAAGAACGACGCCAGAGGATTCAAGTTGGATCTCGTATTTTTCAGATAGTTTAGGCTTAAAATTTCTACTCACCTTGGAACTGAATCTACAGAGGATGAAGGTGGAACCTTGGAAACCTGACAGTTTGCCGCGGCAGCCAGCTTTAAGGCAGACGACGGAACAGCACTCAAAGTCCTAGGTATGTGTCGTGCACTTATTGGGGCGATAGAGTTTACGGCGGCAACTGACGAAGGTACAGTTAACCGAATGTTGTTCCCAATCAGAACCTGAGTTGTTGCAGAATTGGCAGCAGTTACTTGATGACTCAGTGCACTGTGGGAACCGGAAGTCTGTGTGATATTCGAAGGCTGTAACGAAGCTGAGCCTGGTGTTGACGGACTCGTGTGTGCCAGTGCTGTGGGTGTCGCACTGCTGAGGTGTAAGCCCTTGTACACTCCTAGAGAGAAAAAGAAAGAAACAGCTCAGCGATGTGCAGCTTTGCTGTCCGTATTACAGACAGACATTATAAACATAATCGAAACAATTTAAACGCTCTCTCTCCACCTGAGGCTGGAAGGACGCCATTCACCCCAATTCCAAGCACCACGTCATCCTTCATCTTGAAACCCATCAGTTGTTCTGATGTTACCAAAGCAGAAGCAGCAAACTGAGCACTAGCAGAATCCAGAGTCTTAGAAACAAAACCCTAAAAATAAAATACAAAAGGAATCTAGTCAGTATCACTTAGTCTTAAATTAACATTAAAGCTACACAGGCATACCAAAATCAGCTTGAATATAAATGAAAATGGCAAACCACTGAAATCTCTTCATCTCTTCCGACCGTCATAAATTTGAGGAAGAAAAGTAGTCTTCTAACTCAAGGGTTACATGTTTTGATCTTCATGTATGACTATATGATATGTACTAGTCAATTACCAAACCAAGCCTTCTATAATGTGGAAACAGCAAACCTCCAACACAAAATGTTGGACAAGAAATATGCTAGTAAAGCATTTCATTTCAGTGATTTGCAAACACATATAATGAATAAATAAATATGTAAATTTCACCTAACTTACACATACACATACATACAAACCAAGGGCACCTTTGGGATAGTAAGATAACTATTCCTTTAGAAATGGAAGTAACAGAGTATCACATCATAATTTAACCCTAAAAGTGAGAGGCCTCTTAAATTTTTAAAAATGCGTTTTTCCTGCAAGATACGTAGAGACTCAAATCTCAGCCTTTTAGCCCTAAATGTTTTAAACAGAAAACGTTTATCATGGCCGGGCGCAGCGGCTCACACCTGTAATCCCAGCACTCTGGGAGGCCGAGGCGGGCGGATTGTTTGAGCTCAGGAGTTCGAAACCAGCCTGAGCAAGAGCGAGACCCCGTCTCTACTAAAAATAGAAAGAAATTAATCGGACTAAAAATATATAGAAAAAATCAGCCGGGCATGGTGGCGCATGCCTGTAGTCCCAGCTACTTGGGAGGCTGAGGCAGGAGGATCGCTTGAGCCCAGGAGTTTGAGGTTGCTGTGAGCTAGGCTGATGCCACGGCACTCTAGCCTGGGCAACACAGTAAGACTCTGTCTCAAAAAAAAAAAAAAGAAAACATTTATCATGCTTTAGGCTTAAAAAGTGATCTCTTTCAACAGTAAAAGAGGATATTTAGTACAATTTTTAAAAATCTTAATAATAATTGAAGCACCCAAGACAAGGAGCTGGGTGGGGCTATATATTCAAGAGGTACATTAACAGATTACAGGTCATACTTGAAGACGGCATCTCCATCTCATTTAACTATGTTTTTTACTTTTACTTTTTAAAATAGGGAGCAGAGGCAACAGCTTCCATACTCACCTGTAATGTTCTTTCTAAACCCTGTATATTCAGGCGAAAGCCACTTTTCTGCTGGTTAGATGGAAGGTTCTATGACAACAGTTGGTAATTAGAGATGAACTCTGGTGGGAAACAATGAGGGATAATCATAAGACAGACAAATCCCTCACCTGTGAAGTGTTGGTGGAGGAATTACTATTTGCTTGCTGTTGCTGAATTTGCGCAAGCTGCTGTTTCTGCATTAGTGCCAGTTGCTGTTGATGTTGCTGGTATTGTTCGGCTGTAAATGCTGAACATAAAATAAGGAAACACTTTATAAAATGCACAGATATCATATATATCCTTACAATATTTAAACAAATTCAGCATTAAAAAAATTGTGGAGAATTAAAGCATCTGACAAAGGTTCAAGATCCTGCTAAAGATCACTTCCAAATGAAAATTTCGGTATTTCTGCTACCACGTTTAACAAGAGTGGCTTGAATTTAAAGAAAAAGAAAATTAAACTTCCTGGGTTAAACATAGGAAAGAGAACTGCTCACTTCCCAAGTTTCAACACCATTATTTTTGTAAAGCTTTGACACTCGTGCTAGATAGTATAGAAAGGTAATATCAGTTTTTTTAATCCAGAGTTGGAATTCAATTTTGCACTGAGCTTGAGAAGAAATTCGATAATTATCATTTGGTGTCTATTTTATCCATATTACCTTCCCAATGCATTCAGATGGTCCCTGACAGTTCTGTGTACATATTTTCTAATTTTAGTCATTACAAAAATTTCCTCTATATGAAAGATTATAATTGTTTACTATACCATTTAGTTCAAATTCTCAACCAATATTAAATTACATTTGTTTAGTTCTTAAATAAGTAATCAATGCTCGTCTATACATTTCAGTGTATAATAGGAAAACAGCAGGAAACACACAGAAATAGGTAAAGAACGACGCCAGAGGATTCAAGTTGGATCTCGTATTTTTCAGATAGTTTAGGCTTAAAATTTCTACTCACCTTGGAACTGAATCTACAGAGGATGAAGGTGGAACCTTGGAAACCTGACAGTTTGCCGCGGCAGCCAGCTTTAAGGC